ATCCCACAGATCGAAAAAATCGAGTGCAAATTAATATTAATTATTAAATAAATATAATCACGACCTTTCTCATGGAATGGAAAGGAAGAATACTTGGACCGCTATAAACCATACAGGGTCTTGGATTTGGTTATCCAACGTTGTCAGGAGTTAATGTACGTTTAAACATTTAAAAAAGTTTATTCCTGAAACAAATCCTGGGGTGTGTTTTATGCGTTAAAAAAAAAAAAAATTGACTCTCATGACTCGCCTCGAACCATTCTCAAAACGTAGGTATTCAGTTCCTTAAACTGAGTGGAGAAGTTTTTTTTAATTTGGATTAATGTTGAAAAATATGTTATGAACATTTTTCACTTCTTTTTTTTCAGAAATATAACAGTCACACGGACAATAAATATAGTGAAATATGAGCGCATTTACACCATGTTTACAGAAAACATAAAATAAACAAAACCAAAACAACAAATAAATAATAATCATAAAATATATACAATACAAAATAAAATAACTTAAAGATAAGTAAATTAAAAACATAAAAACACAGTCATACCTATATACAATATATACAACCAGGCCGGGAACCCCAAGCCAACTTGTTCCTCCAACTGTAGAAAGAAAAGCAGGACTCTAAGAGATCCCCGTGCTACTCTCTCAACTGCATCACTGATGCTAAAGCCAGTGGACATTGAACGAGAGCGCTTTAGCCTTCCATCTTTTAAGAATATAATTTTCTTTTGTATATGCATATTATTTTTTTTTTCTTCAGTTTGGTCTATATAAAGAAAAAATATAATGAGAAAAAGTTCGACATCAAACATATAAATTATGAAACTTCTCCCAACATTAAATACTTTTCATCATTCAAAATCCTCAAAAAATTATTAAATTGGTAATCATTATTACAGCTTCAATATTTGAGATCAGGTCACAGACAGCGGTCATTACATCGATACCTCTAAATATCGTATCAAGATATATTTTATAATACATGATAAAATAAATTAATATAAAATTTAAAGATATATTTAAGTCAATTACGTATATATTATGATCAGATAACAGTAAGTGAGGGGAATAAATTCGGTATAAATATACAGACATTAAATTAAATGTTTACTTCAGGGAAACTTTCCCAGGAAAATTTAATATACGAGGCAGCACAAACAATTACTCTTGTTTGATTACCGTCATATACCTTTGGAATGCTGAAGATGCATATTTCTTAGATGATATAATTTTTTATTTATTTTTTTTTATGAATTCATGCTATTTACAATTGTAATAAAATAAAATAAATCTAGTAAATGTGCACTCAGAAATATAATAACATGAAAACGCTTGTTGAGAAACTACCCACTGGCACTCAAATAATAAATTATCCAGGACTATATATATATATATATATATATATATATATATATATATATATATATATATATATATATATAAAATCCGTCTGTCCAGATTGGATATCGGCACTACCATCTATCCTTTTCTTTTAATATATCGGCCAAAAATCCTATGTCAATAAGAGAGGTAGTGCCTAAAGGAATGTGACAGTTTTACCGAACCTTTGCTAAAGTCATCTTCTCGATGTCCTTTATAATCATGTGTATAATATACTTCATCGAAAATTATATTTTTTCAAATTGGTTGTTGAAAGACCTTTGTTAAATAGACTGTAGCGCCTAAATAAATGTACCGATTTTAATGAAACTTAGCTAAATTCTTCCCCTTGATGTATGTATGTATATAACATATTTCATCAAGAAGAAGCTGGACAAAAATTTACGCGGGGATGGAAAAATCAGAATTCCAAGTAACACAAAAAGTTTACACTGTTTTCTGATTAATATAATCAGACGTCAAAGATATTTAAATTTCTTAAAATAAAAATCATAGAAATCAGAGCTCTATTAGTAAAGATATCACAGTTTTTAAATATTTTTTGTTTATTATTTTCAATAAAAATTTGTAATCGAGTAAGAAAAAAAATTAACCCTCTTCCAAATTTTAGGTTTTACGTTTCAAGATATGTAGAATCCGAAAATCAAGAGAATCCGTACACAATCCGCGGCTGTTCTCAGAATCTGCTGCTACCATTGTTTTTTTAGATGCAAGGAGTTTAAATACAGATCTGGAAGATGGCTGCTGGATTAAAACTATACTTCGATACAAGGCCCAGCTAGCAATGCCAGGGATAAAGATGCCATTACCCCGCTCAAGGTGGCCGGAGCGCTGGGACGACCGCTACCCCATAGAGAATGGAGAACTACCAGAAGGTTCTAGCCAGCCGCCAAAATAATTAGCGATTGTCTACGTCGGCCTTAGGCAATGCTAACCTCAACTTATGTTACTATTATGTATTTGAACCTGTATAGCAAGAAGAATCCATTGTTTGAAATTTAAACTGATAATTAGTTAAATCTATTTATTTAAAAAGGCGGAGGAACGATAAATTAAATGCTTTAATTTATTTATGTATTTATTTTCTTAACGTTTTGGTTTGACCTCTAATTTTCAAATACATTTCGCTACTTTCAACTTTATTCTTCTTCTCATAATACCCAGTGGTGTGAAAAAGCCTTCAAACAATCCAAATTTTTAAAAAATTGATAAATGTTTCAATTTAAATTTTTTTTTCATCTTCTTAATTCTAAACTAATTTAACATTTCAGACATTTTATAGGCAATATATACTTAAATTAGCATAATTTTCAATTATAAACAAGCCTAAGGATCAATCCGTTTTGTGTACGGTATTTTTCCTCAGCATAATGCTACTTTATTACTCAAATTTTATTAATTTGTTATCGACCTCAGTCTTTATTATTTATTATTAACATCAAAAGCCTTTTTATAGACCCTATAAAGTTGAGAGTATGAGCCAACATCTTTCTAGTATTGGAATTCTTCGTTCTTTTTTCGATAATTTAATTTAACATTCCATATTTCATAGTTGTTTTTTTTTTATGTAATGTTACTTTCATTTCAGAAAATGGAAAAAAATCATTTTTGATCGTCATCTTCTTACTATCTCGTAAGACCGAAAAATAAAATTCTGCCCAATCAGCTCAAACCAAGACGCTTTAGCATGGTATAAAGAAAGCTATTGTACCGTTCTGCATTTAGTATTCATTCTATTAACAAGAGTTCGCTAACTCCAGGTCTAGAAACACACCCCAAAACCAATAAAAAATTTACCTCCGTGATATACTATTGGTAGTTAACATTCATCCGAAAATTCTCAAACATACTCCCTCTCACCGGAACCGAACATCTCAAATTTTGACCCATCTCTCATTTATCATTTGTTCCACTCTTTCGCCCAAAAATCTGATTTTACATGTAATTCAAAATTTTCATTTGAGAAAACATACACAAAAATCTTTCAGAGAATTTACATTAGATATTAGCCCATTTTTTAAACCTTAATAACCTTAAAAACATTATTCAACAATCAACAATATATATCAAAATATAAAAATTGAATTGCACGTTAAATCAGATTATCCCTGAACATGCGAAAATTTGGATAAATTTGAAATAGAGTTATTATTTATCGAGACTGAAAATGCCTTTTTCTACTAATGCATATGATAGTCTCATTCCCAAGATCATCTTTTATGAATGATAATAATAACAAACCCGCAAGGGCAACTGATGAACGCAGTCATTTTCTACTAATAATAATTATTATTATTATTATAAATCTTTGTAAAGCTGTCTGAAATGCAAAATAATTTAATTTTGTACCTTAATCAAGCCTAACCGAACACAGTGTCCAGTAAGGAATGTGAAATGAAAAAAGTGGCTATAAAACTGAAACGTTGTTTATTCAGTGAGAAACCTCGACTCAATTAATATGAATTCAAAGCACATTAAAGTTGCAAAATGTTCTTGAAATTACAGCACCATCAAATATGGCTTAAAATACTTAGTGACTTTTTTAAAATAAACTGATGATATTTAATTAATTAATATACAGTTTTTAGTCAAGATAATTTCATAGTGGGAGAATGGTCATAAATAATCATCACAAATTACAAATAAATATTTTATTATTCAATACAACAAATTTACCATCAATTACAACACTATGCTGAATCTTTTTTTAAACTTAATTAATTTTAGCTTTAACACCAATTAACTAATCTTTTAGTGGTAACAAAAAATATATTAATAATAGTTTCACTTTCAACATCCCCTGAAATAATTTTTTGCATATAATTTTTTTTAAAAAAACTGTATCAGGATAACAACGTATGTTGTACATGATGCAATTATCTAAAACAAAAAAGTAAAATAACAAAATTTATTAATTTCAAATATATCGATTAATATAATGTCCATTAGTTCTAAAACAAAAACGTTAATCAAGTATATCGCTACTTTTAGTGTAAAAGATGGTATGTAAAAATTGAGCATAAAAGCTGTTAACTTCTTTATTATTTATTATATAATTTCATATTTTATTTCCCTCTGCTATTTTCCATAGTGTCAGGCTACTTATTGATGGTATAGACTACAAAATTTTTTCTTTAGCACAAATAGAATAAACATATAAAATTGTTATATACGACCTTTGTAATAAGAGTAGCGATATAATTAAATAAATTAGTAAATATAGGTGAATGAAAATCTTCCTTTGCTTGACCAACTTTTTTAAAAATAATTCGAATATCATTTTCGAACTCTTCAAGGGAAATATAATTTAAAATAGGAGCATACTTGTTTACAAATGACAAATTGATATAGATAATTTTAAAGCAATTTAACAGTTCTTTAGTTAAACTAATTTCATAATAAAAAAAAATTATTACAAACTTCTTTTTTATTAATTCCGAACTATTTTAATAATAACATTTGTATATTAAGATATATTAAACTAAGACAACTATGTATCGTCTGATTAGTACTCATGTGGTGGTTAGGATCATCAATTCGTACCATCATATTACATTAATATAATAAAATATTACTTGGTTTTAAATACTTACTGAATGAAGGAGAGAATAATCCAACTTGAAGAACCCATATGCAGTAAAAACTACCTCACGGTTCATCGCAATATGGAGTTTTAACACTGGCTGTAAACATGAAGTATACGTAAACAAATAAATACATATATATATATATATATATATAGTTTGTTTACAACTAAACTCCTCTTGCGTTGGTTACTAAGCATATATATATATATATATATATATATATATATATATATGCTTAGTAACCAACGCAAGAGGAATTTAGTTGTAAACAAACTCCATTAAGTATATGAGCCTTTCAGTTGACAGAATGACTAATTCCAATTTCAAGATTTTTGAGGAAAGTCATTTTAGTGATATTTCTAGTTGGAAAATTTATAATATCTGTTAAGACAATGAGTAAGTTAATTCCATAGTAAGTCATTGCAGTGTTGAAATATAGAACTGTGAATAAAGGTATACATTTTCTCACTGGAAACATCACTGGAATTAATAACCAAAAAAGTTCAAATTGGAGTTAGTCATTCTGTCAACTGAAAGGCTATATATATATATATATATATATATATATATGTATTTATATATATATATATATATATAAAGCGTATTTATTAGTTTCGAATAGTGTGAAATTATATAATATGAATGATTATAATAATAATAAAAGTAATTTTTAAATGAAAAATAAAATAATATAAAAACAAGGTACCTTAATAAATATTTAACAAAATTTGATAATTTTAGATTTTATTATTTAGTTTTGTATCTGTCTGTATTTCAAGATAGATATATTTAAGATGAAGCTTACTTCCTTTTTTTATTTTTTAAACATTTTGTCTCCTAAACGTAACCATAGTAGTTCTCGCATGTAACAAATTTGAATTGCCTTACATGTTCGTACGACAGTCGAAGAGTATGTGCTTAACTGTTTGTGGAGTCATGATTTATGAATTTATACTTCTCAAATCAAACATATTAAGGTAGAGTTTAGAAGAGTTAGTTTTTAATTATTCTTTCCGTTAACTCTTTCACCATTTCTAGTAAACGGCGGGAGGAGTGTGGTGGAGAGGTAGGGTTGTTCTAGAATTACAAACAAACCTACAATATAATAACTGAATAGCTAATTTGTATCTTAAATTATACTTACGTTACTTAAAATAGTCTTAGTGTTATCATCAATCATAATTTGGTACATAAGTGTGTTGAATTTCCTGGCCTGTAAACAATTGATAGTTCCAGTTTTAATCATATCCTTGTAACAATGAAATTAAATAATAACTACCATATAAATATATATATATATATATATATGCACAGACGAGGAAACGGAAAATGCAATAAAAGGGAAATCATGTCTATTTGTTGTTATCGGAAGGATTACGGATCTGACTGCAGGACTTTCAAGCAAGTTTTCTTAAGATTATTTTAAAATTGTTAGAAAAAAAAAGTTTGGTGTTTTTTGTGGTGTACTATAATTGAGGAGAATTATACCCAATAGTACTATCGAATACCTGAGGGCCCCGTAAAATATTATTTGGAATGAATCATGTTTCAGGAAAATCGTGAATAATTGTCACAAAAACATTATCACTTTCTGAAAACGAAATAACTTCATAAAGCATTCAATTTATTAAATATGTACTTGTAATACTTTGAACAGTAATTTACATACTTACTCAAAATTAGAATAAAAAAGAAACACCAGCATAATTAATTCGGTATTCAAATACTGCATAGGTATTAAAAATAAATGCATATAGCTTTGCGAGAATTTACTATTACGTAAACCCGGATCACCATCTTGGATAACATAGCAACTCCTATTACTTGTTGTAATAATTTCTAACTGGAGTTTGACTACTTATTACTTCGAAATCCCCTTATTTAAAAATCATTTGCTTATAGGTAATTTTCTTTTTATAGACGGCAACCATTCTTTTCAAGAAAGGCAAAATTCAGATAAAATTGATCGTTCATGATTTTAAGCATCTTCCATTTAAAAAAATTGGTACCATTCTTAATATGGACTTTTTTTATTACAATATTTTTTGTGTATACATATTCCCTCCTCTTACGTTCAAAAATTTAAAAAATATATTTAGTCAAGAAATTTACCTCGGTAGTGATGGCTGAAAACTGATGACAAACTCGTGATATTATAATGAACATAACTATAATCCATATAACTTTTTCAACCACGAGTACTTCTTTATAAGTCAATGCCTCGTCTCTGTACATAATAGAAATCGCGTAGAGATCGCAGAATGAAGCGAAAAAAAATACTCCCAGTACCGATATCACTTGAACCGAAAAATAATCATCGATGTCCTCCGAGCAACTACTGAGTTGATGGTGACATATGACCAGTTTTTCTAGAAATGGAACTGCCTCCATAGCTTCCATTCTGAAACATTCAACAAGATGTTGCTTGATAGCTTGGAAACGAATAAGAATCAAGGAATCGATTCTGTCAATGTTGTCCTCAAATGAAATTATGAGAATGTTAGGTGAATAGAGGATGAGGAGCTTTACACACTCAATGAATGTCGGCATTGCAGAGACTTTGAGAAAGTATGCTCCAGTGAGTAGCCCATAAATTAAAACTGTCACCCAACTAGTTTTTGTCGGAGGCAGTTTCCTTCCGAAGGAGTTCATCTGCAAGTCTACGCCTCTCATCCTGAATAGCGATGTGTTCAAGAGTTCCAAGTTACTAGTGCTCCGGATCCAGCAGACCACAAAGCCCCCAGTCAACACGGTAGAGTAAGCGATTTTAAGATAGCAGTACCAATTGCTGATCACCGTAAGGGACGCCCTAATCGAGTAGAGGGTATAGAAGAATATGACCAAGTTGAAGCTGATGCTAATAAGGCTTATGATGAGCCATTTTCTTGAAATCTGGAGTTCGTTATCGGAATAGATCAAGGCAGACATGCCTATGATCCTTTGGAACCGAGTAAACTTTTCGACTTCTTTGAAGACATCGTTAAGCGTTGCCGGAGGCATGGTGAATATAGCGCTACATTTATTTTACGTATCGACTTTCTTTTATCCTAAGTAATCGTCATTATTGTGAAGGCTCTCAGTTGAAGTGCTCGTTGGACACAATTTATAGATAGTTGATACCTCTTGGTTAATCTTTCTGACTGTCAAGTAGGATCCTATCTATATCTATCGATTTGTTCGAAAGGGATCTTTCCTGAAATGTGAATTGTGTCATATGTTACATGGCGGGTGATTTTCTAAATTACATGATTTTCTATTTTTTTGACAGTGTGTATGGTCGTTTCTGCTATTTTTAATAACATTTTTGACTCATAAACTGTTTACATCTTTTCAGAAATGAGCAAAAGGTGCTATCATTAGTAATTTTTATGTTGTATTAATATCTTTTTCTGTGAAAGTAATGCTCGTACCACAAACAGATTTTTGGTCTCAGGATAATTTAATTTAGGAGTCGGTTGTTTTTAACCAAGGACTATTTAACTCTGAGTCTCCATATGTCCTTAATATTTTTGGAATTCTATAATATTTTAGAAAAATAAACTATCGAGATTTAACATTTTTCCAAGTAAAAATAAGTCTAAACGAACTAATCTTATTTTAGGAAACAGAATAGATTATATTTTTTGCATTACTATTTCAACATTAACATCCACTAGTCGTGATGACGTTCATTAGCTATTACTTGCGCGTGTTGTTATTTCTTTCAGATTATATAAAAGCACTACCCATTGAAGATTAAATAACCATTTTCTAAATAAAGACTTTAGCCAACTCTTTTGGTATTCCTGTTGAATGATAAATTTACATTTGTAATAAGGAGTAACTTTTCAAGAAACTAGTCAAAACATTCGCAGAGAGAATGCTAAATCAGACCAGTAGTAATTTTTTCGAGAGGAGGAATAAGAAAATCATGTACGTTTCAGTGTTGTTTGTTTCGGCCTGGTTATGCAGGGGCTCCAAACAGAACCGAATGTTATCTTCAAGTCAACGACTATCGCTATCATTAAAATCTAATGGGAACTAATTTCGATCGATCGAGGGGGCAATTATATTATACCTATGATTTTCCAGGAAATGATGTTGATTGAAATTACTTCACCAATAGCTAGCTATCTGCAAACTGGTTTTTATGAGATCAATTAATTTTTGCTAAAAACACTAGCCGGAAAGAAATCATTCGATATTTTGCTTAATTTACATTTACATGCTGGCGCCAAGATGTTAAGCACACGATCGTCATTACTTCATAAGTAGGGGCTTAAATTCTTCCAGTGATTCACATAGAATTGTGTGGCGATATCCTATCCACTATAAAATACTAGAATATTAATATTTTTGTAGAATATTTAAAAAATATACATGCATTATTAATATTACATACATAATAATATTGGAACTATTGAAATTCTGGACGAACAATTTTGTGATCTCTTCCGTGTTAATAATTGAAAATGATTCGTCATTGAAGTACAAAATATTAATTTTCTGTACCACTTTCAAGCAGCCGTATTGAATCGATCGTATATCTAACTTATTGAATACGAAAATTCAATATTTTACGACAATTTTTTAGTGGGAGAACTGGAGTTTTATAAGTTAAATAATTAAACTGAAATTAACTTTTTTAAGTGCTTCAAGAAGTAAACACCAAACCAGAAGACTATCTAGAGAGTGGAAAGGAAGGTTTTAATTAATTGCCTTTTTATTCACTTCACTAACTGAATTTCAATTTTGTAGTAAATGAAAATATATTGTTTTAATTAGCCGAGAACTTGAATTTGGAGATTTTGAAAATTCCAACCACATAATAATGTGCCTCTAATATGTAGGGAAAGAATAAATTAATCCTCCAACGTTTCATTAAATCAGGCATCTTCAGGATAGAAAACAAATCTAACCCAAAATGAGATCCCTCCATGTCATCCAATCATATACTGGGAAAAAGGCAAAGTTTTGACCTCTTGGATGTCATGGAGTCATTTGATATTGGGTTTGTTTTCCCTTCAGTATTGATGATGTCTAAATTGTCCTAACGTTGACGGATTATTTTATTATTTTACCTCCATTTTAGAGACATTTTTCAATATTATTCGAACATCGATTTTCTTGGTGCGTTTTTACTCGTATATATTTATTATACGAAAACGTCATTGTTTTAATAAACAATTTTATTTTTAAGGCCCTCTATATATTATATTATTTTAATTTAAAGTTAAATAGCTCAGTAAAATAATACATTTTACCTTTCTTAAAACGAGGCGGCTGTTTCATTATAAAACCCTGTTGTGGGTCCCTTATTTTTCAGGACCCTGTTAACTTTTTCTTATCTAGAATTGAAAGCAGTGAAGGGTCCTAATAGTTTTCCCGCTTCCACTCAACAGTACAGGTTGAAATAAGATAGGATATTTCCGATGGAACACATGAGGTAAAAAAATATTTAATCTTTCCATGAGGCAAGGGCTGCGGTGTTGCCAGCTCTAGACTAGCTAGAATTTATTTTTTGTTCTCTTGGTGCTGTTTTCTTGAACCGGTTGTGGTGCCATCGTGTCCTGTGTTTCAGGATGTGCAGTTATTGCCGTCGCTAAGGGACTCCCGATGTTCAAGAACCAATTTAATCATCATTCCGAGAATACCTATTTCGTTTCACATTTTATTCGAAAATTTGAAGAAACATTATGCTGAATATATTTATTTATTAATGGATAAATTATAATTATATTTTTATAAATTATGACAGCTAAATTTGAAAATAGGAAATTATTTAGAGATATAATTGCAATATTCCAAGACTTTAGGCTCTCAAATAGTATAATAATTAAGGATCAACATTTCTTTAATATATGGTATCAGAGCTGGGATCTGCCAAGAGGATTTGTATAGCTTCGTCCTCATTTCATTATTACTTCATAATACATAATTCTTTATATTTCATGGACTGTGACTGGTTGAAATTTCATAAAATTGTTCGAGAATGAAATCCATGGAAACGGTCGTTTTTGAAGCAAAATGAGACTATGGAATAATATTAATGGAAAAATTAATATTGAGCCACTTGTACATCATTCACCAAATACTGTCTTTTTTATAACACCATTGTGACAATTGTTTTCGTTTTGTTTAAACCAGAAGCGAGTGTCACGAATCTGATATAAAAAGTATAAAGTATATATAGTAATCCTCAAATATGATATGTAAAAATAATTATATGAGTCACACTGCATAAGCGGTAAAGAAGATTAGATTATGATGATGAAAAATAATTATCAGCATTCCAATAAAGATGACAGTATAATGAAACAATGAAAAATGATGATGATGCTTTATTTTTAAGAATAAAAAATCATCCCTTCTTATAATTTTACTCATTCCTCAACAAACAATATGATACTAAAAACGGTCTAAAAAACCTAACAACTAATGTGTGTGCTTTAGACCACACGATAGAAGTGAAACATCAACAAGACGAGATTAATAATATGAATTATAAATTATAAATAATATTGCATTATAAAGAGGATGAAATGCTGAAAATTTCTCTCGCTCACAGTATGGCGGTCATACATATATTCCATAAAATTCGTTATCGTTTGGTTTTCGACATTATTTTTCCTTTTCGTCTCTCCAACATGACACCACGTTAAGGTACAATTTTGAATAATAGCTCATTAAAAATGGGATGAAATGGTGAACAAGTCTCTTGCTTTCTTACAGTATGCAGATCCGATTTTCAGTTTCTGAGGAATTTTAATCCATATGTAAAACCATTTTAATTAGTCAACATCACCCGAGCGTTAATACCGAGTGAAATATGACGGATCAATCTAATTCACTCTCCACAAAAATTTGCAAAACATGCCTTAAGTTGTTTTCACTTCAGTAATAGTTGGCTTCGCAGTTCAGCTCACGAAGTACTTAGGGGTTTGAAAAGTATAATAGCATATCTCCAAGATATCAGACGGATATCTTATACGTTGTTGAGCTATCTTGTTTGGAAAAAAAAAAAAAACAAGAAAAACATTGACCTCCTATTTACGTCTGGAATGAACCGTTACCGGCAGGTGCCTGTGACATACTTAGGGCTTACATTAAATGTAAGACTAGCAAATGTCCGCCTAAAAGCCTTATACAATGTATATAATGAAACCTTTTTAAATCTTGGTAATTGAAAATTATGTTGGTGTTAATAGTAAGTGCATCAAGGCGCATTAAAGTTTTAAATAAAATTCTGAATCTTACTTCCATAAATAGTTTTAAAATTAGAATAGATGTGATTGTTAATTAATAACACCCTTATTAATTTTACTGAAAGCAATAAGATGTAGTATAATCTAAAACATTTTATACTTAAATGTCTTGAAAAAAATAATAATTATATTCCGCCACAAACTGTATTTTGTACGTTTGAAGTTCCCACCAGTGTAAAAATGGTTCAATATAACTTTTTCAAAAATCAAAGTTCATAGTCTCATTTTGCTTTACTATGTGCAACTGTATTCCCATTGATGAATGTGTTTAAAAAACGACTGGTTCCATAGATTTTATTCTCAAAAGATTTTATTAAATTTCAACCAGCTAAATTGCAATGGCACAAGCCGATGCGGGCGCTGTTCGGAAATCTTCGGTACATCTCATCTAGGACATAATAAGGGATCGGTGTCCATGTTTCTTGAGGTCGGCTCGGAATCCCCCGTGCCCTGTGAGGAGCTTTGAAATCCTTTGATCCGGGAGTACCCGTTCTGCTTCCAAACCTGACCTAACAATGGGAAAGTACTTTTACGGGCAGACCTTGCCTTCCGCCAGTTCCATTAATTTAATGTATCTTCTTGTATGACCTTTTCTAATTCCTGGGATTCCCACCAATTCGCACCCGGATATTTGCAGATAGACCCGCCGGGTTTTCACTCTTTATTTCAAATTTTATAGCATCTTATCCCACAGAAGGAGATTGAGAGGAATTTCGAGTCCATAAGAGTTATCAATAGCAGAATTATTCAATGTAT